AATAGAGATAAGTGCAAAGTCTTACACTTAGGTACAAAAAATCAAAGGCACAGATATAGAATGGGAGGGACTTGGCTTGACAGCAGCACATGTGAAAGGGATCTGGGTGTTCTGGTTGATCACAAGCTAAACATGAGCCTGCAGTGCGATATGACTGCAAAGAAAGCTAATCCAATCTTAGGATGCATTAACAGAAGCACTGTGTCCAGATCACGGGAGGTGGTAGTTCCGCTCTATGGTCAGGCCTCACCTGGAGTACTGTGTCCAGTTTTGGACACCACATTTTAGGAAGGATGTTGACAAGCTCGAGTATGTCCAGAAGAGGGCAACCAGGATGGTGAGAGGGTTGGAATCCAAGTCTTATGAGGAAAGGCTGAGTTGGGTATGTTTAGCCTGGGAAAGAGAAGGCTTAGAGGGGACATGATTGCAGTCTTCAAGTATCTAAAGGGCTGTCATGTAGAAGATGGAGCAGATCTACTCTCTCTTGCTCCGGATTGCAAGACTAGATCTAATGGGTGGAAATTACAAGGGAGTCAATACCGGCTAAATATCAGGAGAAACTTCCTAACTGTAAGAGTGGCTGAGCAGTGGAACAGACTGCCTTGGGAGGTGGTGGATGCTACTTGGCTGGAGGTTTTCAAGCGGAGGCTGGACGACCATCTTTTGGGTATGTTGTAGGGCTATCTTTCAGCTATGCTCCTGCAGAGTGCAGGGGGTTGGACTAGATGACCTATGTTGACATGCTCCTAGTTCAGTCTTACCAGTTGCTTTCTCCTAGAACTTTGTTGTTTTAGGACAGTTTAGACAGGAATCCTAATCATGTGTATTTGATGGTAAGTCTTATTGCATTCAATTAAAATAATTTCCTAGTAGTCATGATTATGAACTGGAAGTTTTAAGACCTTAAAAGTACATTTTACACACAAGTCTAAAATTCTATCATTTAATCAGCTGTTTCCCATTTCCAAGTGCATCAGCTAATGCAGAATCACTTATAGATAGAAAAGAACCCTTGCTGAATTGTGTTTGTATTGTAGGTAGTGCTTGTCTGCATGGTGTTGAAAGGTATCACAACGGAGGTGTGACTGTGCTGCCATGCATGGATTAACTCCTTTTAAGCCCAGCTAATAAGGGAGGGCAATGGCATCAGTATATCACATTACAGTCTGAGGGTGTCAGCTGATTCTGGTACTGTTGGTATAGTTTTGATAGCAGGCATACATCGGTACCAACTACACTATCTTGGAAGTTACACCAGGATAAATAACCAGGACCATAGGATTCTTGTGCTATTTTATTAAGGTGCCAACAAAGGCATACAGAAAAGTGTCAGCAGATAAATGAAAGACACTGTCTTTTCACTAGTACTCTGGATTAGCTCTGATTCACAGCAATAACTCAGACAGTAGGGGGTGTACTTTTTCATTGTTCATTTGCAATATTTGAAATAAAAACTCATTCAAATATTCAAAAAATTAAAACCCATCTCGAGTGCTTTTTTGACAAAGAATTTGTGCTTACCAGAATAAATGTGTTACTAACAGATACTTTGCCACTGCTTGTGCTTCAATATTTACCTCTGCTTCCATCTTATAAGCATTATCTATTCTACTGAAGTTTTTTGTTACAGTCACATTTTCTACCTAGAATAAAAGATAACAATTTAAAATATACCATTCATGAAAATAATACTCTGTGATGATGTTATACATATTTACCATGTTTTGAACTGAACAAAGGTTCAAGGTTAAATTAAGTAACTGTAGCAAAAGTGAGTAAATTATTTTTCTTTCAGGATAAAATGCTATCCCTGTTTAATGTTAATACAAGTAACATTTTCTCGTGGAATTATTAATCAGACTTTTTCACTGACTTCATTAATCTTTTCTATCATTTATTCTTTTTAAACATCTCAGCTGTCATAAAATGCCTTGAAATACTAAACTATCTGTAGCAATCTGAAACATATTGATCCCTGATGAAAGTCCTGAGGATCATACAAATTGATCAGATTATTATACATTGCTGTTAATGAGCAATAAAGATTCATATACACATAATTTAAGGAAACCTGAAAAAGTTACTTTATGAGAACAGCTGGGAGTAATAAAGATAGTATGATGAGTTGCTGGAGTATTATCAAGCAGAATGATCCAATTTGTTTTCTATACTGGATAAAATTGCTGCCCTCTTGTGGTTCTTGATATTACACCTTGGAAACAGCAATGTTATTTGGACAAAATACTATAACAATTTGAACATAATAAGTATTATGGGACAGAAATCAAGTTTTGGCATAAATTCCAAATAGAGCCTAATGGCAAACATTTATATTTTAATAGTGCAACCATAAATTATAACCCATTAGATTACCAGGAAAACATTATAAAATCTGAGAGCTGGCACAGTGTAGGGGTAAAAGTCTCAGATCTGATTCAAACCCCCACTCTGCCATGGAAGCTCACTGGGCAACCTTGAGCCATTCAAAAACATTCAGCCTAGCTCACCTTCCAGGGTTGCTGTGAGGATAAAATGATGGAAGACAGAATGACACTGAACGCTGCTTTGGGTCCCCAGATTAGGGAGAAAAATGGAGTACAAATATAAAACAAACTTGACACAATTTAATTTTCCTAAGGATTCTATCCAGAAGAATATGGACAGTACTGTCACAAAGCACAACTATCTATATATCTAATACCCAAGTTGCCCACTCCGTGCCGATATCTAAATCCGCACATCAGGGGCACTTGGGGGGCAGGGAGATTTTCCTGCACACTTGGGGCAGTCCCCAGGTGTGCAGAAAAATTTAAAAAGTTTAAAGAACTGGACAGAGGATATTTAAATCCCCCCAAAAGTAAGAGTGTTCTCTGTGCATGTACAGAGAATGCTCTGGGAACTCTGCGTCGGGCTGGCAGCTGGGAGGCGCTCAGGCCTCGCCACCAGTGCCCGCAGGGGAGGGGGGAATCGGTGGGCCGGTGGCTGGGAGGCACTCAGGCCTCGTCGCCGGTGCCCGCGGGGGGGGGGAAATCAGCGGGGGGGAAGGCTTACCTGCAGAGCTGCTTCTGCAGACTGGGAGCCTTTAGGAATACTCCCCCCATAAGTATCTTGTATCTCTTCTAAAAAGCAACTACACAAATCAGCATCATAGAATAATCCTAGTAAAATTAAGTTTAGCTTTTCGTTTTAACCACAGGCTGGAATATTGGTACTAGACAGTGCATAAAAGGAAGTACAGGACAGCTTCTCTCCCCACTTGCTCTGCCAGCAGAACTATGCTAACTGGCCAGTTTTTAAAACAACCAGAGAGGAAGTAACATCCCAGTTTGAAGATGTAATTTATCCACAGTGTGACACCTCTCTCCCAGTGAGAAAAACAGGTAAATAAATGGAATACAAGTGATGTCCAGTAACGCTCATACCTGTAAAGAGAGCAGTGACAACAAAAGGCAAGAACAACCAAAACTATGACAAACCCCTGCTGAAGGGGAAGGCCTTAATGGAAGCCAGGCAACAGCAATATTTATTTTATTTACTAGCCTGATACCCGTGCTTTGCTACAGTATTTAAGTTCCGTAAATCCAGTTATAATACTGATGATGTGAAATTTGAAATGTGACATTTGTTGTAGGAATTCTAACAGAGAAGATTGTAGTATAAGAAATGAAGTGAGGCACACCCCCTCTACTGAAGGACCTCTCTCTAGACCACATTGGTGGTTCTGCCCTCAGGTGCTAGGATCACCAGGCTGCTTGGTGAGCTCACTCTGGAGCAGGCCACATAGAACGGTCCATTTAAGAAGCGGTCGTCTGTTAAGTCAACTCCTGCCACCTTCCACGAAAGTGTTGTTCTGAGTTGTGTTGTTCTGAGCACCTCAGGGTGATCTTGCTGGTACTTGGCCTGTGCAGCTCAGTGCACTGCAGGAGTACTATGTGCAAATGTCTTTGCCGCATTCCTAAGTTGCCTCCTCTTTGTAGCGTTGGTGTATCTGGCTCGACATTTGCCAGGAGCTTTCTTGGGGGCAGTAAGAAGTGTGAGGGGGAGTTGGTGTGAGGGAGTGGTGATGTGGTGGACATTTCTTCAGGTTCATGAGGGAGGCACACATCGAAATGGCTCCTAGAAATGTCTTTTACTATCTCCCCATAAACATTCATACCCTGGCACTGCTCCTACACCTGACAGACACCGGTCTGTCTGGTGTTGGGGGGAATTGTATTTAAAGGCATCGGGGAGGCTGGGCCAGCAGCAGTGCTAAGGCAATCCTGCTGAGCAAACCTC